GTCCATAAAATGTATTGCTGTTCTGTTGTAAGTAATCTTAAAGATTCCTAAATGCATCTACTTTCGCCAAGTTTCGGAAGGCCAAATAAAGTGCTTTTGCTTTTGCACTGAAACACACAGCGTCTCCCTGACATGCTGCTTCAACACTAACTGCGGTTACTGAAACCACGCCTTCTTTCTTTGCGTGCGCATTTGGGCGGCATTATGCTAATATTCCCACATAGTGAGGTAGATATGTGGGGGCGTGTTAGAACGAGCCGTTTTAGGGGGGCGTGGCAGAGTCTTAACTTTGATAAAGAATATCTCTTTGGTTTTGAGACTTTAGTCTTTGCAACTTCAGGGATCTTATCTATGCACAATCAGCTTGTAACACTCCAAAGAGAAAGCAAAACTTGAAATCGCATCATATGACCCCTTTAAGGATGTACTGTAATATTTATTTTTCTCATACAGCTTTTAGGAAAATAGTCCATCCTCTGGGAATCTTCGTATCTGATGATCCATCAAAAAGTTTGCAAACGCCTGATATTGTACTTTACTTGTTTATTTACATTTTAAGCTTAATTTTAGACCTTATTTTAACATTCAGTAATTTGGTTTGCCAAACTTCTGCTAACACTGATGTAATGGACACAAGTTATTTAATTATAATTAAGATGGAAGCTGGAAATAAAGGGATTGTAGTAACTTGTCTTGGGATGTCCATCACTTTCCGTGAGCCACTATTTTTTCTGTGGAAATGCTCAGATTAGGCATCTGCTTTTGCATCAGCACCAGCACCATGTCAGTGCAAACGTGGTACCACTCTCCATCTCTCTTCAAATCTCTGACCTGTGCTGATTGTCTCTGCGTGGGCTCCGGCTCTGTGTCCTCCTTCTGACTATTATTGCTTCTTCTTCCTCAGGGTACAGCTTAGATCGGGGAATATCAGCTATGATCACATAATCCTCAATGGTCATCTCTGGCACTGCTGGTTGACTGGAAGACCTGGTGTTCTCTGAAAGAATTAGCGCCTCCAAGCCCCGCCTGATGCTGCTTCTGCTCCGATCATCGACCGGCTTATCCGTCTCTGCAGTTAAGGCATGGGATTTGGGCAAATCAGGGGACGGAACCTGATTCCGGCTCCACCTTGATTGAGAGATGTTTGGCGTTGATGCAGGTGAGGCGGGGCTTAGAGGGGAGTGGGTGGGGCTTATAGATTGGCGGGAATCAGATCTGTATTGTTTGTCTGTGGTGTCTGAGTATCCGCCATTCCTGCGGCTTTTGTTTTTCAAAGTACCGTATTTTAGTGTACCATGTTTATCATCATTTTTATAAGGTGTTGAGGCACCAGGGCTGTTAGAACCACTGTTGCGACTGTTGTAACCACTGTTTCGACTGACGTGGCTTGTTTTGTCATCACAGTAGCCTCCTGTTGGAGAGAAATCCCGGCTGTTGTAGCCAGTATTGCGGCCTCCACTCTTTTGACTGCTGCGACCGCTATTGCGACCACTGTGGTTGCGTTTGTTATAATCGCCATTGATTTCCACATCAGAATGTCTTTTTGACCAGCCGTTCCTTTCTTCAGAGGCGTCTGACTCAGCCGAACTTGCAATTGATTTGAGATTCTTATACAGCTTTTCAGAATCCAAGCTGTGCCCGTAGGAGCTCTGGGAAGGGCTTCTTTTGTTGGCGGGGCTAAAGGATTCCCCGTTTTTATTTGGACCCCAGCTTTGTGAGGGACATGTGGTGCACGTGACCACCGAATCTCGTCTTCGTGATGGAGTGCATCTCCCAGAAGTCTGCTGAGAGGACGTGTGGGACATCCGGTGACCGTGTGCGGCGGAACCTCGGCGATGGGACGAACTGTGCGATTCCCCTCGCCTTTGTGGCGAAACATTGGTAGATCTCGGACTGCCGGAGCGAGGGCTTGCACGAGATTGGCTGTCCCCACGTCTGAAATTTGAATAGGACATGTGTCGCTGGGGGGAGAGGCCACTCATTGCCTCGTTGCTGAGATTGTTGGAGCGCCTCCTATTGGACGGGAGACCCAGGTCTGGGTTTCGGAAGGGGATGGTGGCTTTGCGCTCAGGACTGTGGGTGACTGGAAGAGGGTGGCCTCTCTCGAAGTGGCGCATGGGAGCAGGAGGACTGCCATCTTCCTGTTCCCTGTCCCGTGAGAGGAAGCGATTGGTTCTTTTAAAAACGGCGCGGCTGCTGCTGCTTTGTTCCACTTCTCTTCTAGTCTCTGTTTGAGGAAGATATGCATTGATATTGTGCTGATGCATACAAATTATTAAAATAAATGAATAATTAAATGGTTAAATAATTAACATTATTAAGTATTGTTCATTGATTATTGAATACACAGGACAAAATATACTAATATACACTCACTTCTGCAGACCTACAGTATAAAGCCTACTGTATCATAATTAATATGCACATTTCTAATTATCAAGCCCTGTTGTACACAATCTACTACATGTCTTATGTCTTTACAGTTTTTTTAGCAAGGCCTTTTGTTCAAATTGTAAATATAAAAGTAAATGCAAGAATTATTGTTATTATGTTGTTAATGTTTCAAGATGAACATTTACTGGACTGTAGCAGCTTTGGTTTACTTGATTATCCACACATCATTTTTAAGAAAAAAACATGTTAAAATGTGAGTTTCAAATATGAGCCATCAGGCTTTTGAGGAACTTTTTTTGAGGCTCTCTCAGTCATCATTGTATTGCATTGCATTATAAGTTTTGAAATTACAATTACATCTTACTAAGACTTATTATTTGGAAATATATAGTGACAACTGATATTTAAATGCTTTTTATGTAAGTAGTCTGTTTACTATTATAAAGATCTCATTGATTTACATTACAAGCTTTTTAGCCAAATAAATATCAGTTACTGCACCAAATTATATATTTTTGCCCAGTTTGGCCCTTTTTTCCCCTTCTTCTTCTACTTTAAAAAAAAGTTTTTTTCTGACTATTATTTCATATGTAAGGCTTTACGGGGTTAAATCTCACCTGTGTGTTGGCTGACACTTCCTCTTCTGCTTGTGTTGGCGCTCCCTCTCCTGCTCTGCATTTCTATCACAGAGCGACTTTCTGAGCGCTGGAGAGCAGGTTCCAGTCGAGTCATGCTTTCGGTCTCTTAGTTCAGTAATAATTGTTCCTTTAGATTGCAGTTGAGTTCTTCAGGTCAACTCTCAGAGGTCACGCTTTGGTCTAGAGCTGTTGCTTGTGTCTGCACATAAAAGATCGTCAGATTTATTCTGCTGACAATTTTTTTTTACATTTTGCTTTCTTGATAAGTTAGTCCACATGCAACTTTTTTGTGTTATCTGTGGAATTATGCATCTCTCAACTCAATTCAATATGTATACAGTGCTCTTACTGGTAGATAATTATCTATTTGCCTAAATTTCTCAACAATTTTATAAAAATTGACACTGTGCTACTTGTTCCTGGTTTGCAGAGAAGTTGATTAGTAGTTGATTAAAGCAGATGGCGCAACACTCTTTGTTTTAATTTCTGTTTCTCTTTGAAATTAATTTGTAACTTAATTTCTAATTAATTTTTTTAACATATTGTTTGTTTTATTTTCTAATTGAAATGTAGAGAATATAAATGAATTCGATTTTTAAAAGTTTAAATTTTTATATAAAATAGTTGGAAATAATGCAACATTAACTTTTAACTTAACGTTTTTTTGTCTATATCTTTTGTTGTTTTATTAAAAATTGAATAAATGTATTTTAATTTTAGTTTTATTTATTAGTACACTAAGTTGAACTAAAAAATTAGAAATGTTGCTAGGTGAAATTAAATTGTAAGTAATTTATGTTATAAAACGTTATTTTAGTAACAATGTTTTTATGGTTTCAGTTTTAGTTAATTATAATAATAGTTTGGGCACCTCTGGTTTAAGCAAAACCGATTTTTGCCCATTAGTCTGATTCTTTTTTGTGTGTGTGTGTGTGTGTTTCTGTGCACTGTTGAAATTTTGTTGTATAGACAGAAACTTTATTGCATTGTCCATTTACTAATTTGCATGTAAACAACAAAATGCATTTTTTAATTATCTGATTTTCGTTTTATTGTAGATCATCTGGTTACTCTGACAGCCTTTCAGATTGACAATACACACCAGATTGATGCACACGGTCATGTCAAGAGACGAAGTAGCGCAGAAAAACTGACATCACAGCGGCTGCTTGTTCAGGATGCATCACCTTAATTTCCCTGATTGCCAGATTGTGATGGAATCCAAGCACTCTTGAATAATTTACATCACTGAGGTGAAGGTAGAGACTTTTAACTCCTAAATACAGCGATAAGTGCAATCTTAGCAGGATCTGTACCAGAAACAGGATATTTGAATGTAGCTCATGGGTTAAACAAGTTCCTTGAGGCTTAAAGGTTAGATGGTTTTTATGCCAGAGCTCAAGCTACTAATCAAGTAATGTTACATTTTACAGTAACTCAATTTAACATCTACATATATGTTTGAGGCATGAGACATGCAAGGTTAGCAAGACATGCACCTTTTAACATAAGACAAAAGTAACCAGCAATGATGAAACATAATAGCACATAAGTCAATCCAAAAGCAGAAGTCCACAAATAAAACACTCCACAAACCTTCTCAACACTCCCAAGACTTCGTTAATGCCCTTGCCAGCGTCTTCCCATCTCTGTGGCGTTCCTCCTCTGGCTCTTTCCTTCATTACTTTAGGTGCGGCAGGTGTAACTTAAGCTAGACTCTGCCTCTCCTCATGACTATTTCATCACACCTGGTCTGTCCCTGTTGCACCCGAGTCCTCTTCCTTGTGCTCCTGTTCCCAGTTCACATGTTCTTCTCCTCATCCTCTGTGTTCTTCAGTTATTTCCAGCTCTGCCTCTGGTTCTTCCCCAGTCAGTTTTCCAACACTCTGGTCCTTCACCTGCTGGTTCCGGCGCATATCCAGCATCGGTGGGCATGAGCCATGCTCTCGCAGCTCAGTTGGACGTGACTGATGACTTTGTGATTCGAGTACGCTGCTGTTTCGTATTTTAGCATCCATGTTGTGCCGGAATATAGTGTTACGGTCTGTTCCCTGAGGACTGTACATGATCGGCTCATTAAAATGCAATGGGATCACAGAGCAAACCTCTTATTCCCCTTTTTTTCCCCATGAAGTCACACTGTTGGCATCTCAAGCTCTAATGCTAATTGAAGTGCAGAACACTTTAATCTTCTTGGGTTGCACTTGGCAAAGGCCTTCTGACAAAAAGCAATATTACGATTGCACTATAATTTTAATATAAAAGGCCACACCCATATTTACTCTTTAGGAACCAAACATTCAGTTGTTTTATTTGTTTGCACATTTTCTAAAGTAAATTTATGTGGTGTTTGCCTGTGCGAAACACACCACCTTGATGCTGAAATGTTTTGGGTGGTTGCCAGGGCGTTGCTATGACATTGCTAGAGTGTTCTGAGTGGTTTTCAGGGTGTTGCTATGAGGCTGCTAGGGTGTTCTGAGTTGTTGCCAGGGCAGTGCTATGAAGATGTTTTAAGTGGTTGCCAGGGTGTTGCTATAAGGGTTGCTAGGGTGTTCTGAGTGGTTGCCAGGGGGTTGCTATGAAGGTGTTCTAAGTGGTTGCCAGGGTGTTGCTATGATGTTACTAGAGTGTTCTGAGTGGTTCCCAGGGCAATGCTGTGAAGTTGCTAAGGTGTTCTGAGCGATTGCCAGGGTGTTGCTATGTGGTTACTAGGGTGTTGTACGAGGTTACTTTGAGGCTGCTAAGTGTTAAGGGTATTGAAAACTCCATAACTTTAACTATGAGTAGTAATAATAGTGAGGCTGCTCTTGATGAAAAGAAAGTGTAAAACTATCCTAAATAAAGCATTTAACATTTGATCTCAGGATGAATATCTAAATCAAGTGAAGTACTTTACTGGAGCACAATGTGAAGTAGTTTAAAGTTACGTTGCAACATATCAGAGAAGACCAAGAGACGTGAGCTGAAGGGTCTCCATTGTGTCTCTCCTCCATGGCCATGTGGGGTCTAGCTGGTGTTTTCTGCCTGCAGGACGCTTTGACTCAGGAGGACAGACAACATCTGTCGTTCTTTGCCCCCTCCCTTCCCTCCATTCATAGGCACACACTGCCTCTCCCAAATGGTGCCCTTTTGTATCTGCTATTGTCCGCCGCTACATTGTGTGACTCTGCCTGTTCCCCAGAGCTCCATTGATGAGTGTTGTAAGAGACCTCAGCCAGAACTCTTCTGAACTTCTCCTCAAGCTTAATGTTTAGCCATAAAAGCTCAACAAAAGACATTTTGTTCTCTAGCTGCATCAGTGTTAGGATACAAAATCTCAAACCAACTTTTTCTTAATAGAAAGCTCAAGAGAACATCATTAAAAAAACTTTTATTTTTTTCTTGGTTTTGGTTGTAGTTTTGGTGATGAGGGTTTGAAATCAAGCAAGGCTTTCCTGCCAAAATACCTGCCAAGTAGTTTCATCCAGTTAGGAAATGTGCCAACTAGTTCAGTTTTTCCCCTCCCCAAAGCCTTAAATTTCTCTCTCTAGTCTGGTTGGATAACTTGTAAACATCCTGCAGCTATTTGACGGCATTTCTCAAAGGCCCTTCTCTTGAGCGATGCACCCGCAACAGGCAGAATGTGGGGTAAAGCCATGAATAGCCCAGTATGGGGTGACCGAGAGGCCAGAGCAGATGTTAATGATTAGCTTCGTTCTCATCCCTATAAAGAACCTGCATCCCAATCTATTCCCCATTTTCTAAAGAACCATTTCCAACCCTTACACAGTGGCGCATATAGAAGTCATAAATCCAGCATCCAGAAAAGACTGATAGAAAATGCGAACCGAAACAAAAGAGGCTTATTAGAAAAAAGGGCTACAATTTAGCAGTCTCACAGCACTTTAAAGGTTTTGCAGTTTGTTTTTGGTAGTTTATAAGTTTGTCAGCCTTTTCTTTAGGCTGAAAATGCTGTAAGAATTGTGTCAGCATTCAAATATGAATGTAAACATGCTCTGTTTTAACATTTAAGCCCAGTGTATGTGAAACAGAAGTGTGTGGCGGAGTTAATAAAACAATGAAATACTTTCGATAGTTCATAATCTTTATTTGGAAAAATAATTTAAGCTAAAACTTCATTCAGAGAAAGAAAATCAAACAAAAGCCTGTTAATGAAAACAATAGCATTAATAACATTTTTACAATCCTTCTTTAAATAACTTTTTCTCAAAACATCCCAGCAACCCGAAGTGCCTTTGCAAGTAACAGGAACAACTTAGGAAAAACGCAAACTTAAATAATCTTAAAAACATTACAAATATTTAGAAATACAACTTAAATAAAAATAAATTAACTTAAATCATACAACTCTTGTTATAAAAAAGAAAATAAAAAACATACAAACAAGGATATTATTCATCATCAACAACACAAAACGTAATTTTTTTTTACGTCGAAAAACAAATTACATACATTTTCTAAACCATAATGCAAAAAAGCGGAGGCTTGGAAGACTTTGAGATTTTTTTTGAGTACTTACACATAGATTCCACTGGTCATGTGACAGGATATGACATCATGTGACATTTTAACCCAGTGCAAGACAGGCCAGTATGGCTGAACATCCACCGTTTTGATGTAGTCCCTTGTACACTGACTTGTGGGGCCAGCAAATGTTGCCAAAATATTGCTAAAATGTTACCACAACTTCACCACGGTGTCACAGAGACAGTCAATGGCAAAACAATTTGTGACACATTTATTTTAAACTACGTCCTTAACATCCTTAATGTTTGGTGCAGTCTCTGGGCACAGTAAAAGCCTGTGGGAATTATTGGCGGAAAACCAGCAAATGTTGCCAAAATATTGCTAAAACGTTGCCACAATGCTGACACATTATTGGACATCACATGGCAAAACACTGCGATACTTTACTTTTCTTTTCTTGTATTCACTTTCTGTTACTTCTTTCCTAATGCCATTTTCGTGTGATGAACCCACGTTAAAAACATTTAAAAATGGACACATATTGTCCAACACCTTAAAAATGGCTTTACAGGTAAATTTTACAACTACATTTGATATTTTAATGACACTCCTGCCATCATTATAATTTCCACAAGTTTCCAAGCCTACAGGCCACCACTGCCTGT